GAGGAGGAGGAGGCCTCCTGGGGGCCTCTTGGGGGCTTGTTTGATGCCTCTTGGGCCGTCTGGGGGCCATCTTGCGCGTCTTGGAGCGATCGTTCGGCGACTCGGGGCCCTCTTAGACAGCCTTAGGGGTTTCTTGGGGCCCTCTTGGCCCGTCTTGGGGCCCGGGCACGCAGGACGCCCCGGTAGATTTGAGTTGTTGTTTTTTTGTCTGGGCCCTTCCAGACTCCTCGGGAGCGAGCATTGAGGCTTAGAGGATTACGTACTAGGCAAAGGACCTGAAGACACGCCAACTCCGTGCCCAGAGGCACGGTGGCGGATATAGGTGGAACAATCACTGTAGTCCAGTGTTGTGCAATCTATGTGGTGCCATTTTTTGTTGCGCAATATAAGTCCTGGTGGAGCAGCCCACGCGGTGCAACTTATGCGGTGCACTTCACCCAGTCGAACTTGAAGTTGACAACTTCAATGCTCGCGCAATCATCCCACCCACCCACCCGCCACTTGATTCGCAAAACCCTTGCGGCGGAGACTGCGATGACTGCTTGGCGCTGGCTGGCGCATCGCTGCGGCCGCGCTAGCGCGCGCAAGCTCGCGCGAAGGGCGGCTCGGTAATCTGGCGCGACCGACGTGGCCGCGGTTTGCGGTGACCGCTGGGGACTTCCCAGCGCGTCTCGCAGGCCGCGCTGACGCGCGGGCACTTCAGTGCGAGTCGGTGGCTCGGGCGGACGCGGTATCGCGGCGACGCCGGCGACGGCAAACGATGATGATAGTAGGGGTATTGGTGACGATGATGACAATGACGACGGCAAGATTCCGATCACGCCGATGACGATGATGGTGTCCACGTGCCACCGATGAAGGTTTTGGGATGATTTCGACATGACCGCCCGGCCGACTGGCGCGAGTGGCCCCCATGGTATTCATTCACATGGGTCATGCACCCCCCCTCGCGCACGCAATGGCGTTCGAGTGGTTTCGACATGCGCGCGCGAGATGCCCGTTTGGTTGCATGTGATGGGCACGTTCTTAAACAAAACATACACCAACAATTTTGAGTACTTCTTAAGAGTTCACAAGGGCGCGAGAGCAGGTTTGTTGGAACATCTTTGTTGCGAGAGCATCGTGTTTTATATGTGTTTGGGCTTTCGATGTTAAATTCCTTGCAGGACATTGGGCTTTTGGGATTTCGGCACGCGCGCGCGACGACGCGCGCGCGTGCACTTCGTTCCTGTTGTTGCAAAGCATTATGGCGACACCGCGCGCGCAAGAGTGTTCGAATGGTTTCGATATGGGCGCGCGAGGGGCACCTTTTTTTCTAGCATGTTACGAACATGTTGACAAACTTGTGGTTTTCTGACGGGGTCGCAAGGGCGCGAACGCAGGATTTGTTGGAACATCCTCGTTGCGAAGTCATTGAGTACTTGGTTTCGGGACGCTCGATTTTGACATCCTGGCAAAACCTGCGGTTTTCGAAATATTCTGGCATGCGCGCGCGACGACGCGCGCGTGTGTATGTCGTCCCGTCGTTTGCAAACGATCGTTGCGGTAGCAACTGCGTAAGGTCGTTCGGATGATGTTTGACATGCGCGAGCGAGAGGCACATTTGGTCGCATGTGATGGAATGCGGAAAAGCGTACGGTTTTTTGGACAATCCGACAGGACGCGAGTGTAGGTTTTTTGCTTGAAAACTTGATTGTTACATGCTGTCGGGACTCGGTTTTGAAATCTCTACGGCACCAAAAAGGTTTTGAGGATTTCGGCATGCCCGCGCGAGGACGCGCGCGTGTGCGCATCGTCCCATTTGTGTTGCAACGGGGGTCTTAAAATCATATGATTTGTGTAAACGAGTGCGCGCGCATATTTGTCTTGCAGAAGGTAAAAGGGGGCGATCAGCGACTGCCTGGGGTGGTTCGAGTCCAAATTTCGGATGGGCGAGTGCGCACAATCATTTACGAAAAACAATACGGAAAACACGTGCGGCATTAATTCCGGGGGCGAGGGGAGGAAATCTGAATATCATCCGGAAGCAAAGTACGTGGTGCAAAAATCACGTGGCGGCGACGAGGTGGGGACGGGGCGGCGACGCGGAGGCGACGGCGACAACATAGCCGCCAGACCGCCACACAAACCCTGACGACAGGCGGCGACGGGACGGCGACGGCGACAACATAGCTCCCAGACCGTCATACAGGCCCGGACAACGGGCGGCGACGGGGCGGCGACGTCGACGACATAGCCGCCAGACCGCCACACAAAGAAATAATAACCCCTAAGTGCAATCACTGTTTGGGGAATAAACCTTTTCCCGAATGGGAAAACGGGGGTGTGGATAATGAAACGCGATAAACCATTCACGCCTTGAGGGCAAAATGGAACTAATTCTTCACTCGCTCCTTTGCTGTCTTCAGTATTCTGAAGAGCTTTTCGGGGCCACTGACACCAAAGGTGTAATGTGCTTGCTGGTTCCCTGTCTTACATGTACTGCTCCGGCGCGATGTGGATGTTTCGTTCTGGTTGCGGCACGGCGTGGTGTCAGATTTGCGGCCCCCGTGAGGAAGATTGCAGGGGCGTCAAAGAGATGGGCAGCTATCAGGGGGACTCCAACTGCGTCCGCCAGCTTGGCCGTCTTCCCCCCTCTCGGGGGGCGGGGGGGGGGAGCGGGGGAGGGGGGAGAGCCTCCTTCTCCCTCGCAATCCCCCCCATCCCTCGCCCCCCCGCTCTTCGTCTCCTGCCTCGCCCAGTTCTGGGAGGGTGGCGGTGGCCAGGCTGACGAGCCCGCGGATTGGAGTCCCCCGGCCGTGCCGAGTTCTTCTTATGGTTGCGCCTGGACGCGCTGGCGGAGTCCGACGTCCACGGCCTGCTCTGCGAGGCCGATTGGGGGGAGGGGAAGGAGGAGAGAGGAGAGGGGGGCGGGAAAGGGGGGGAGCAGCACGAGGAGCAGGAGGAGGAGGAGGAGGAGGAGGAGGAGGGATGAGGAGCAGGAAGAGGGGGGAGGGGAAGGACGATCAGTGCAGCGAGCGATCATAATGACCCCTGGAAGAGCGGAGTCCGAACCAGGGGTCGGCGCACGCCCAACCACCGACGCCGCATGGGTCGGGGCGGGGGCTCGACAGAGACCTCCTCCTCCTCCTCCTCCTCCTCCTCCTCCTCCTCCTCCTCCCCCTCCTCCTCTCTCGTCCTCCTCGTCCTCCTCGTCCTCTTCCTCTTCCTCTTCCTCCTCCAAGAGAGAGAGAGAGAGAGAGAGATGCAAGGCGGAGCGGATGCGGTGCGCCTGCACAGCACCGGCCGGTTTGTCGCCGCCACCGCCGCGGAACGCGGCCGTTCCCAGGAGCACGAGCCAGGGAGGAGGCCCTTTCGAAGCACGAGAGACAGATTCGCAGGGTGCCGAGTGCTCTCTTTGGCGCGGCTTCTGGAGCTAGTGGGTGCTGTGCGACCCCCCGCGCGGGAGACAGCATCATGCATGCTTCTGTGGCCAGGAGGCAACACAGGACTCTCAGAAACATCGCCGTGCGCGCGCAATCGGAAGCCGCGGGGCGAAGGCTGGCTCCCGCCCACTCCATCGGCGCGCGCGGGTGACTCAACAGGGCAGGAACGTTCTAGCCTGAGAAGAGGCCGAGCAACCACAGGATGAGCGCTGCGAAGGGTCACCGCACAAGATCGGGCAGGCGCGTTCCGTGGTGGCTCGGAGACGCCGCAACCTCTGACGAGCAGAACTCATCGGAGGTCTTGGTGCGCACAGCTGGGGGCCTGGGAACTCTTCGCCTTTCCTTCTCCAGCTCAGTCCTGCAGTCTGCTCGGCAGTCGCATCGGCCACCACAAAGCCAGGAGGCCATCTACGACTCAAAAAGCCCGTGATGTTCGGGGGCCCAGGGCTGGGGGAGGCCTCCGAGAGGTCCCCGAGAGGCCCCCGAGAAGGTCCCGCGAGGTTTCCGAGCGGTTTTGGAAGGTTTCTGAGAGTCAGAGAGACTACAGCTTCTGAGAGGTTTTTGGGCCGAAACCAGCTCCGCGCATTAGTTTTCGAGGCGTGCTGAGAAGCGACCCGTCGGAAAGACCCCTCCTATTGGCGACGAAGAAATGTTCGACGCCGTTGCCCCTCGCGAGAACAAGATCGAGGGCCGGCCAAAGAAACACGGCACGGGATGGCATAGGCCGCACCCGGAAGGAGCACGCAGCAACTGCGGCAGGGGAGGAGGCCTGGGCACAACAGGGGGCCCACGCAGCCATCGTGGGGGGCTGAGGGAGCGGGTTCTGGTGAGCTAGCCCCAGTTCTGTTGTCTGGCGGATGTCATTCAACGTCTGCATCGAGCTGCTCCGCTAGACCTGGCACCGCCGCAGCACGAGTAGGCACGCCCCGGCTGGGCTTCGCAGTCACGTTCGGTGGTGACTTGCGCGCCAGCGAAGATGGGGGTGCGCGAGAGGCTGGCAAGTGCCAGGTGTCGCGGGGTGGGCTTCGCAGCGCTCCTCGGGGGGGAGTAGTTTGTACACATCCCCTTGCCGCCGCTGCTGCCGCCTTTACCTACATCTATTCAGCTAGATTGGCTGACCTGCACATTGTGATCGTGCTCAAGGAATTAGCAGTCTGCGCCATCGCTAGCAAAACATATCCTGCGTGTATGGGATTGAGCTCAACGTGCATGGAGTTCATGGTGTATCACGTAGGTCGCCCTGAACTGCTTCTCTTGGATCCGAAGAAGGCTAACGCAGCGAAACAAGAACAACATGTACAAACGTCCGGTACACTGGCGCAGCGCTGTTTCGAACCCTTCAAGTGCATCGACTGTTGCGATAAAAGCTCGTCGTCGCCCAGGAATCTGAGGGAGCGCCGTTGCGCGCCAGGGGCGCGACGGCGGACCTTGAACCGCCATGTTGTCTTCTTCTGTCGTTTCTGCGCCAACGCTTTCCGACAGAGAAACGTGAACCCACGTAAGCGCCGCCTTCGGGAAAAGCGGTTCTAGTGGATTGTGGGGGGCGCGATGGCGCGTTTCAGGGAGGCGGGGGGAATCGGAGGAGGAAGAGGAGAAACAAGAGGAAGATGAACAGGATGAGAAGGTGAACGCGGACGAGGACGAGGAAGGGGACGGGGACAGACGAGGAGGAGGAGAAGGAGGAGGAGGTGAATGAGGAGGAGGAGGAGGAGGAGGAGGACCAGTGTAAGCCCAAGAGTCATCAACGATGTTGGAGTAAACCTTCCCTTCAAGCTCCCCCTTCATAGTTCCCTACAACGGTTCATTTCCATTGAGGGAACTGTCTCGTTGGAAGACAACCGTTTGAAGATCCTGAAGCATGCCAAAACATTATTCTCGGGATTCCAACGCCACGGATCAACCTGACTCTTGCGTTTTGACGATCCTGAATCGTCCCAGACCATTCAAGGGACTTCAGCACAGAAAATTAATGTAATTGTTGCACCCGCATAATCCAGAATCCTTCTAAGACACAATCTCTGGTACGGTGATGTTGGGAAGCCGTGAAACCCTTGCAATGTTTTAAACGAATGTGCGCCGCGCTAAGGCGAGAGCCACATGTTGAAAACCACCCGCCCTCAACCCGTGAAGCTCTTGAACTTGTTTTCAACGAATGCGCGCCGCGCTAAGGCGAGAGCCACATTTTGAAAACGACCCGCGCTCAATCCGTGAAACTCTTGCAACATTTCAAAACGAATGTGCGCCGCGCTAGGGCGAGAGCCACATTTTGAAAACCACCCGCCCTCAATCCGCGAAACTCTTGCAAATGTGTTAAACGAATGTGCGCGGCGCTAATGCGAGAGCCGCATTTTGAAAACCACCCGCCCTCAATCCGTGAAGCTGTTGCAGACATTCAAAACGAATGTGCGCAGCGCTAAGACGAGCGCCACATTTTGAGAACGACCCGCCCTCAATCCGTGAAACTCTTGCAAATTTTCAAAACGAATGCGCGCCGCGCTAGGGCGAGAGCCACATTTTGAAAACCACTCGCCCTCCATCTGTCGCCAACTTTTAAGCTTCAGAGTCATACGTGATGAGAAAGTCTCAGGCGAAATGCCCGGCCCGCGCCAAACACTGGCCTCGTTGTGCGAAAAGGAACAGGGGAGATCAGAGGACCAGCATACGTAAGCAAAAGGAGGTAGGAGAGGAGGGAAAGGTGGACGAGCAACAGCAGCGGGGGAAAGGAAGAGAGCGTGGATGGAGGGAGAGAAGAAGAGGGTCGGAGGAGGAGGAGGAGGAGGAGGAAAGCTGCAGTAAACGCAGGACGCGTGACGATGCTACACTATGCATACGTTCGGGCCCCGAGCCCCCGCATCGTAAAAGTCCCTGCGAGTATCTCTCTGCACCGCGGGAGGTGCCCCCGTGGAAAGACAGGGGCCTCGTGGGCCTGCCGCTGCGGCGAGACCCCCCTTCGTATGGGGTCCTCCCTCCATCCCCGCAGCCGACAAAACCGCAACTACACCTTAGGCGATGCTTAAGAAAACCTAAGTTTTCGGCCAGAGTCTCGATTATTCTTAATGTTTCAATGTAAATCCTAAGATTTGAATGGGCATTCTGGGTTTTTATTTAAATTCTGAGACTATCAATTTCTTAACCCATGATTTCTAAAGCATTTCGCAGGGTGTATGCAGAACAGGGCTCACGGGAGCGTCCAGCCATGGCCCCGTTTTGAAGGGGCCGATGCGCTCGGATGATGATGCCCCAGGGATGCTAACGCACAGCCTCGATTTGAGGAGGATCTGTCCTCCATTCGTCCATGTGTCTTGCACAGCGTGAGGTTCGAGTGGTCACAGTTGCGGAAGTCCCACGCGACAGCTGCGTTTTGAAAACGCAATGACCTTGGACACTTCGGACGCATGTGCCTAGCGCTACTATTAGAGCCGCGTTTCGAAAATCACCCCTTCCAACCGTGCAACTGCTCGGTTGTTTTAATCGAGTGCGCGCGGCGCTAAGGCGAGAACCGCATTTGGAAAACGCGCCGCCCATTCTTGCAGCTGGTAGGAATTGTTTGAACGAATGTGCGGGGCGCTAAGGCGAAAACCGCATGCTGAAAACCACAGACTTTCCATCCCTGTAGCCGTCGGAATTGTTTTTGCTATAGGTTTCGAATGGTCAGGACGCCTCAACGGAAACGCTCTGCCCAGCACACCGGCCACCTCTGGTGGTGCGACAGGGGGGGGGGGAAGGGCGGGGTCACTCAGACGAAGAAGGGATGGAAAAGGACGAGGGAAAAGGGACTGGGAGTGGGGAGGAGGGGCGGGAGGTGGACGGGGGGGACGGCGGCCCTCCCTGCGAGGCCGTGGAGGAGTCCGAGGCTCAGGGCTACAACGGGGGGCTCCCTGGCCGCTGAGCGCGCGCGGCAGACCGCCCCACTCCTCTCCTCATTGCTCCCTCCCCTCCCCCTCTCTCTCCGCCTCCCGCCCTTGCTTCTTTCCCCTCCCTCTCCGTCTCCCCCCCCCTCCGGTGCCCCTCTCTCTCTCTCTCTGCCCTGCGCCCTCCTCCGCATGCCCTCCCCATCCTTCCCTTCTCCTCTGCCTCTCCCGTGCCCCTTCTCTCCCCCCGCTCCCTCCCCCTCCCCTCCCTTCCCCTCCTCTCCCTGCCCCATCCCATCCCCCCCCCTCCCGTCTCTCCCTCCCGTCTCTCCCTCCCCTGTCCCTTTCTCTCGCACTCCCCTCCCCTTCTCCCCTCTACAATTACACAAAGTGAATACTGCTCTCCTCTCTCGCCTGGTGACGTCCGGCAGATGTTCGCCCCCCCTCCGCGTATTTTTTTTTCAGACCGGATTCCCGAGAGTTGGGTTTTCGTTTGGGTTTTTTTTCAAAACGTTGCTCCCGCTGAAACGCTGGCCTCATTTTCGGGCTTCCGCCCGTTCCGAATTGTGCTCCCGCTGCAGCGCTGGCCTTATTTAATCGCTTCGCTCATTCCGCCGGCCCACATGGTATCGCTGGTGCTATATGTTTGTGTGTTCGTGGCGAGCGAGAAGAAGTTGGAGGAGGGGGAGGAGGAGGAGGAGGATGAAGAGGGGAGGATGAGGACGAGGAGGCGGTCTCTCGATGGCTTCTTGGAGTATTTTTGGGGCCAACCCTGGTCGTGGACAAGACGCTTCTTTGGGAGGCTTCGTGGGGTCTCTTGGGAGGCCTCTCGGGGGCCTGTTGGAGGTGTTTTTGGGGCCTCCTGGGGCCTCTTGGGGGCCTCTTGGGGCCTCCTGGGGCCTCTTCGGGCAAAGATGTCGAAATGCCCGTTCGGGTCCCCCGTCTGTGCCCTCTCTTGGAGCCGTCTTGGGGGTGTATTGGCCCGTCTTGGAGGCCTCTTGGGCAGTCTTGGGGCCATCTTGGGCCGTTTGGGGGCCCTCTTGGAGACCTCTCGGGCCGTCTTGGGGCGGTCTTGGGGCGGTCTTGGGGGCCTCTTGGGGCGTCTTGGAGCGTCGGAAGCTGAAAATGCGAGAACGCCAAAAACCTTCAAAAACCAATGGAAAATCAACGATTTTTGCTTCTTGGGGTACTTTTTGGAGGCCTCTTAGATGCTTCTCGGGCCATCTTGGAGGCCTCTTGGGCCGTCTGGAGGCCATCTTGGGCGTCGTGGAGCGATCTTCGGGCGTCTGGGGCCCCTCTTGGACCATGTTTGGGGCCTCTTGGGGCCCTCTTGCGGCGATCTGGAGCCCTCTTGGGCTCCGAAACAGAATTCCGGCATCTCTGACCCCTAGTCTGCCGGGGATCTGCCGGGGATCGCCCGGGGTACTTTTCGCTCGGGGACCCCCAGGGGCCGCCCTGCGCGCGCGAACTAGAAATACTGTTTACCTGTTACCGGAGATCTTAGCACGCCCTGGCCCGTTGGGCTTGTGCTCCCGCTGCAGCGCTGGCCTTATTTCCGCGCTTCCGCTCGTTCCGAATCGTGCTCCCGCTGCAGCGCTGGCCTCATTTCCGCGCTTCCGCTCGTTCCGAATCGTGCTCCCGCTGCAGCGCTGGCCTCATTTCCGTGCTTTCGCTTGTTCCGAATCGTGCTCCCGCTGCAGTGCTAGCGTCATCATTTCCAGTGCCATGCCACAGCATGCAATGCAATGCTATATGGTGTTCCGCTGTGCGATGCCATGCCTTCAGCTGCAATGCTAGGGTATGCAGTGATTGACTTCGCAGTGCCACGCCATGCTATGCCATGCTACGCCTTGATCTTCAACGCCATGTTATGCCAAGTTATGTTATGTGCCGCTGTGCAATGCCATTGTTTGCGTTGCAATGTTTGTGATGCAACTATTCACTACGCAACGCCACGCCATGCTATGTCATGACATACTACGCTCTGCCGTGCTCTTCTACGCCCTGCTATGCCGTGCTCTGCGATGCATCGCGCACCCCTCTCGGGATCATTGCCCTGCTCGACATCCGACTGTGCGAATCGAGAGGCGATCTACGCCACGGTAAGAGATGGGAGGGAGGGATAGGACGTGAGATATGACGGGAGCGCACCTAGCTTGCCCCCCCTTCCCCCTCCCTCCTCTCCCACTCTTCCTCTTCTCCTTCTGGCTCCCACTCCCTCTTCCCCCCTCCTCTCCTTTCCCCTCTGTGCGCGCGGGAGGAGGAGGAGGAGGAGGAGGACCAGTGTAAACCCAAGAGTCATCAACGATGTTGGAATAAACCCTCCCTCCAAGCTCCCAGTTCATTTCCACTGAGGGAAATGCCTCGTTGGAAGGCAACCGTTTGAAGACCCTGAAGCATGCCAAACCATTGTTCTCGGGATTCCAACGCCACGGATCAACCTGACTGTTGCGTTTTGACGATCCTGAATCGTGCCAGAACGCCATTCTGGGCACTTCAACATAGCGAATCAACGTAACCGGTACACCCTCATAATCTGGAATATTTCGAAAGCGCCATTTCTTGTACGCTGATCATGGAAACCCGTGAAACTCTTTCAACTATGAAAAACGAATATGCGCGGCGCGAAGGCGAGAGCCACATTTTGAAAAGGAACCTCAATCCGTGAAACTCCTGCAATTTGTTTAAGCGAATGTACGCGGCGCTACGGCGAGAGCCACATATTGAAAACGGGTCGCCCTCAATCCGTGAAGTTCTTGCAGATGTTTAGAACGAATGTGCGCTGCGCTAAGGCGAGAGCTAAATTTTGAAAGCGACCCGCCCTCCGTTTGTGAATTTGATGCCAACTTTTAGCTTCAGGGTCAAAATGGTGAGGAAGTCTCAGGCGAAACATCCAGCCCGCCCTAAAACTGGCCTCGAGTTGCGACAGGGAGAAGTTTTTACAAGGAAAAGGAATGGAGGAGGAGGAGGAGGAGGAGGAGAAGGAGGAGGACGACGACGACGACGAGGACGAGGACGAGGACGAGGACGAGGAAGAGGACGAGGAGGAGGAGGAGGAGGACGAGGAGGACGGAGAACGGAGGAAGAAGAGGAGGAGGAGGAGGAGGAGGAAGAAGAGGACCAGAAGACACCCATGGTGTTTCAACGAAGCCGCAACGCACCCTCCCGTCCCAAGTTCCTCGTCGCAAGTCCCCGCCAGTACCCCTCTCCGCCGCGGGGGGGGGGGGGGGGGGGGCCTTGGATGACGAGCGCCCGCGGGGCCTGCCACTCAGCCGGGACCCCGCTACGTGAAGGCTCCACCACCCTCCATGCCGGCGGAGAAGATCGCGAATATGCAGGATGGCGAGGAGGAGGAAAGCTGGAGTCAACGCAGAGCGCATCACGATGTTGCATATTAGGTGCGTGTAGATGTGTATATAAATGTATGTTTGCCTATGTATGCATGTATGCATGCATGTATGTATGTATGCCTGCATGTATGTATGCATGCATGTATGTATTTATGTGTGCATGCATGTCTGTCTGTCTGTCTGTCTGGCTGGCTGGCTGTCTGTCTGTCCGTACGTGTGCATGCAGGCAGGCAGGCAGGCAGGCAGGCAGGCAGGTAGGTAGGTAGGTGTATATGCATGTATGCAGGTATGCAGGTGTGCATGTATGCAGGTAGATGCATTCGGGCCCCGAGCCCCCGACAGCATCGCAAGTCCCCACGAGTATTTCTCTGCACCGCGGTAAGCGCCCCCGTTGAAAACCAAGCGCCTCGCAGGCCTGCCACTGAGGTGAGACCCCCCTTTGTGTAAGGTCCACCCTCCATCCCCGCAGCCGGCAACACCGCAACTATGCAGAGTGACAGGGCTCAAGGAAGTGCCCAGCCACGGCCCCGTTCTGAAGGGGCTCTGCCACACATCGGAGTCAGATGCACGAGTGGTCGGGGTCTCCCTCCGTCCGTGCAACCGTTGCCCAAGCTGGAACTTCGGCCTCCATCCGTGCGACCGTTGGGGATCCAACACGAATGCGCGCGGCGATGGTGCGAAAACCGCATTTTGAAGACGACCAGGCCACCATCCGTGCCGCGATGTGCCATGTAACCGATGGAACTGTCTACAACGAATGTGTGCGGTGGTAAGGCGGAAACCGCATTTTGAAAACGACCAGCCCTCCATCAGTTTCAAAAAATGAACGCGCGCGGCGCCGAGACGAGAACCGTATTTCGAAAACGATCGGCCAGTTATCTCTGTAGCTGCTGGAAGTTTTTCAAACGAATGTGCACAGCGCTATTGCGAGATCTGGATGTTGAAAACACATGGCCTTCCGTCCCTATAATTGCTTGAGGTAGAACGAGTTGTAAGGGAGTCTGACGCGAAACGCCCAGCCCCGCATTTCGGACTCGTTTGGTGCCGCAACAGGGGGACTTTTCTATAAGGAATCGGGATGCCGCCCTGGATCTGCTCTGAAGTGCCGTCTGGCCACACCTTCGAGGCGAAGTTTGCGGTGGTGACGAGGGCACTCCGAGGGACCTCTGAAGGCCCCCAGAGTCCACCAGCCTCTGGAAATCCGTGGAGGCCTCCAGCGGTCCCCAGAAGCCCCTGGGACGTCACAGAACAAAAATCCGGGGACCCGCAGATGGCCAGCACCAGACCACACCGCCTCCCTCCTCGAGCCTCGTTTCGGGCCTTCGTCGGCCCTCCATCGTCGCTGTGCGACTGCCTGGGAGTTAGCGCTTAACACTACCCACGTCCAGCCTCCCAAAACAAAAGTTATCTTGGTAAAGGACCATGCGAACACCGCCACTGAAGCCTTCGGTGGAGCCCCGTAGGGGGCCACGAAACGCTGCACTGGGTGGGGGAGACACATGCGAACACCGCCACTGAGGCCTTTGGTTGAGTTCCCCATGGGGCCACGAAGCGCTGTGCTGGGTGGGGGAGACGCATGCGAGCACCGCCACTGGGGCCTTCGGTGGAGCTCCCTATCTGGCCACGAAGCGCTGTACTGTGCGGGGGAGACGCATGCGAACACCGCCACTGGGGCCCTCGGTGGAGCTCCGCACGGGGCCACGAAACATTGTACTGTGCGGGAAAGATGCATGTGAACACC